AGAGGTGATGGAGAAGCTCAGTATCTTCAGCCAAAATAAGGCCAGGAGCTGACTGTGGAACAGACCATCAATTACTCACATAAGCTGAAGCTGAAGACAATTAAAACAAGTCCACAAGAGCCAAATACAACCTTGATTTTATCCCACCTGAATTTAGAGACCGTCTGGAGAACAAATAAGACACATTTAACACCAATGACTGAAAACCAGATGAGCTGTAGAAGTACATCAAAAATATCACATATAAAGAAAGCAAAAAGTCATTAAAAAGACAGGAAAGGAAGAAGAATGGCCAAAATAGATGTCAGAAGAGACACTGAAACTTGCTCTTGAATGGAGAGTAGCTAAAGCAAGTGGAAGAAATCACAACATAAAAGAGATGAACAGAAGATTTCAAAGAGCAGCTGAAAAAGACAAGGTCAATTATTACAACGAACTGTGCAAAGATCTGGAGTTAGAAAACCAAAAGGGAAGAACACAATCATTATTTCTTAAGCTGAGAGAACTAAAGAAGAAAGTCAAACCTCAAGTTGCAATGTCGAAAGATTCTATGGGCAACACACTGAATGTGGAAAACATCAAGAAGATGGAAGGAGTAGAGAGTCACTGCCCCCAAAAGAATTTGTTGATGTCCATCTATTTCAGGAGGTGGCATATGATCAAGAAACAATTGTACTGAAAGAAGAAGTTAAAGCTGCACTGAAGGAACCGGTGAAAAACAAGAAGGATTCAGGAATTGACAGAATACCCACTGAGATGTTTCAATAAATGGATGCCACCCTGGAGGCACTTACTTGTCTATGCCAAGAAATCTGGAAAACAGCTACTTGGCCAACTGACTGGAAGAGATCCATATCTATACCCATCCCAAAGAAAGGTGATCCCACAGAGTATGGAAATTATCAAACAATATCATTAATATCACGTGCAAGTAAAATCTTGTTGTTGTCACTGTTATGTGCCTAGTGACCCCTCCTTGGGTTTCCGAGGCAGTATCACTATGGAATTAGATTGCCCAACCTTCCTTCCAAGGAGTAGCTGGTGGGTTTGAACTGCCAGACTTCTGGTCAGCAGTCAAGTGCCTAAGGCATTACGCTACCACTCTTATTGAAGATAATTGTAGCAGTATATTAATTGGGAACTTCCAGAAATGCAAGCTGGATTCAGAAGAAGACATGGAATGAGGGAGATCATTGCTGATGTCAGATGGATCTTAGCTGAAAGTAAAGAACACCAGAGTGATGTTTACTTGTGTTTTACTGACTATGCAAAAAGATTCAATTGTGTGGATGATAACAAATTATGGACAACATTGAGAAGCATGGGAATTCCCGAACACTTAATTTTGCTCATGAGGAACCTGTACATAGACCAGAAGGCTGTTATTAGAACAGAACAAGGGGATACTGTATGGTTTAAAATCAAGAAGGGAGTGGGTCTGGGTTGTGTCCTTTCACCATACTTATTCAATCTGTATGCTGAGCAAATAATCTGAGAAGCTGGACTGTATGAAGAATGTGGCATCCAGATTGAAGGAATATTCCTTAACAACATGTGATATGCAGATGACACAACCTTGCTTGCTCAAAGTAAGGATGACTTGAAGCACTTACTGATGAAGTTTAAAGACTACAGTCTACAGTATGGATTACACCTCAACATAAGAAAACAAAAATATTCACAACCAGACCAATAAGCAACATCACAACAAACGGAGAAGCATTGAAGTTGTCAAAGATTTCGTATTACTTGGTTTCTCAATCAACATCAGTGGAAGCAGCAGTTAAGAAATCAGACATCATATTACACTGGGCAAATCTGCTGAAAAAGACCCCTTTAAACTACTGAAGAGCAAAGATATCTCTTTGAAGACTAAGGTGTGCCTAACTCAAGCCATGGTATTTTCAATCACCTCATATGCATGTGAGAGCTGGACAATGAATAAGGAAGGCTAAAGAAGGGTTGACACTTTTGAATTGTGGTACTGGCGATGAATACTAAAAGTAACATGGACTGCCAAAAGAACTAACAAATTTGGCCTGGAAGACTTGTAGCCAGAATGTTCCCTGGAGTGAGGATGGTCAGACTTCCTATCACCTACTTTGGTCATGCTGTCAGAAGGGACATTCTTTGGAGAAGGATGTCAAGCTTAGTAAAGTAAAGAGTCAGCAAAAAAGGGGAAGACCCTCAGTGAGATGGATTGACACAGTGGCTGCAATGATGGACTCAGGTATAGTAAGGATTGTGAGGCTGGCACAGGACCAGGAAGAGTTTTGTTCTGTTGTACATGGGGTTGCTATGAGTCAGAGCTGACTTGATGGCACCTAACACCACCACCACCACCACCACCACCACCACCACCACCAACAACAACAACAACAACAACAGGGCTTAGAAGACTTAGGTTAGTAACCTGCTCAAGATCATGCAGCTAGTAAATGATAGAGCTGAGATTCAACTTCAGGAATTTTTACTCCAGACCCAGTATTCTTAATGACTAACCCTTCATTAAAATCACTGTAAAGTTTTTTGACATTAAATTAAATAAAACTGTGTCTAGTTAGAAAACCACTAATACTCTTCAACAATCAATTATAGGAGATCAAATGGTCAACAGTTATCCAAAAGGAGATGAGAAGGCAAGGAGGGGAAGGAAAACTAGATCAATGGAAACAGAACAAACAGAATGGAAATAATGAGAATGCTGAAACACTGTGAAAACTGCAGCCAATTTCATGGAACAATTTATATAAAAACTTGTTAAATTGGAACCTAATCTGCTGTGTAAAGTTTCATCTAAAACACTGAACTATTTAAAAAAACAAAAACCAAAAAACTGTTTTTAAGAGAACCATACGCCATCCCCCCAAAATAAAAACAGACCAAATACTTAACTGGATTCTCACTGGGATGATACTATGTTTATATATTAATTAGGAAGGGATTAGTATTTTTATTTAAAGTCTTCCCATCAATAACATTCTATTGTTTTCTATTAATTCAACTCTTGCTTTTTATCCTTATGGTTTTGATTGCCATCATGTACTGGATACATTTATTCCATTACTAATCCTAAAAGGTCACTGCCAGCAAGTAATTAATATAAAAATATATTACTAATACAAAGTGGGAGAACAAAGTGGAATAAAACTCAAAATTATAAAAAAAGATCAGGCTTACTGCTCTGATAGAGACTGGTAAACTCCCCGAGACTATGGTGCCTAGTGACCCTTCAGGACTGGAATTTAACTCATTCCTGTGGCTTCCAGCCAAACAGACAGGCATACAAAGTGTACACTACACTGTTGTTGTTGTTGTTGTTATGTGCCGTCGAGTCGGCCCCGACTCATAGCGACCCCTCCTTGGGTTTCCGAGGCAGTATCACTATGGAAGTAGGATTGCCCAACCTTCCTTCCGAGGAGTGGCTGGTAGGTTTGAACCGCCAGCCATCTGGCTAGCAGGCAAGTGTCTTAGCTACTATGCTACCAGAGCTCCCACTACAGTAGGTAGGTACAATATTTAGAAAAATCAACCATGGGAGGTCAGAAGGGCAGCATTTGCACAGGGAGACAGCTCAAGAGGGCAGGAATGCATAGGAAAGAAGGACACAGGGAAAGGGTAACCAGAGGGAGAAGTGGGAAGACAGCCATTACGTTATGGGGATTGCAGTCAATATCATGCAACAAAATGTGTATGAACTTTTATGGAAAATGAATTTGCTCTATAAACTTACACCTAAACACACACACACACACACACACACAGGGTTTAAAAAATACTACTAATATAAAAATCAAGATAAAATTAGTTCCCTTGGGTATTCTATGTTTACAGTAACAACAAATATATTATTTAGGTTAATTGTACTCTGACTTGGTTCTGGGTTTACAATCTTCAGATCTATTTTACTTTAAATTAATTATGCTGCTTTCATTATACAGGTCTCCGCTCCCTCAATACAGTAAGTCCCCCAGTTATAAACATCTAACTTACAGCTCATAGTTGCCCTTTAAATGTTATGTAAATATGCCCTCACTTTGAAATGACTGAACCAACACCTAACTGCAACAAATCTTCTTCACAATCACCTTCACTTGCTGCATGTGCAGCTTTTAAATCACTGAAAAGGCTTTGAGCCTTTTCTGGCACCATAGCAAAGCTAAATAAAAACTTTACACAGCTGTTTTGACTTATCTACAAATTTGACTTAAGGACATACTTAAGGAACCGATCTTGTTAGTAATCTGGAGACTGCCTGTGTATTACAGTGAAGTTAGGTGGTCATAAGTCGGACATATGATTTTTGATTATTACACAATTTATGAATTCAGTTGGACCTCCTACTTACACATTTGGAGAAATACATGAAAAAATATCCAACTATGTCTATTCTTATTGGAACATTTAAACTTAAGCAGAAAACCTGGATACTTCTTTATATACTAAGTAAATAATTTACATATTAATGAAAATGTATAATCCATCAGTCTGCTTTGCTTTAGTAATGGGATGAGTTAAATAATAGGATCACAAAGACATTAAATATAAATTTCAAAATTTTTCTGAATTTCCAGGTACTTTCTGAAATTCTATTACTGGTAAATCTTAAAGAATAATGGAGTATTTTCTTTTTCACATGGCATTTCACATTATTTATAAATGCTCTACTGAGAAACAATATTTATACCTATAACTCTAAAAAGTTTTATTACTAGATTGCTTTGAAGAGCCTGTTTATAAACAAACTCCCAAAAGTTGAAAGAAAAGATTGAACAGCCTTATAGAAGACAATTTTGTGGAATGTCTTATAATGAGGAAGAAGCATATGTGCTTCAATGAGCTTACTTTTCTCACTCTGCAGCAGACAAGCGGGTCTTTGATTGCTTCACCATTATGATACAACTCTGGATACAATAAAGACTACATTATTGCGCTATCATTTGTCAAGCTGTATAGAAATTTTGAGTCAATGGATGCCACCTGTACGATATTTTCATTACCTGTTTATAAAGCAACTGCTCGTTTTCTCTGGCATAACAGAAAAGAACATCTGTAAGAATTTTTCTCACATTTTCTTGTTGAAAAAATTGCATTTCAGGAAACCTGTAAAAAGAAAACACAGCACTGAAATAGACTAGCACAGTTTCACAACTCATCCTCAACTCTCATTTCTGAGAGGTGCCAAGGGGCTGCTTTAGGTTCAGCATGAGACTGAATTGCCATGCAATTTAAGTCACTTGCTGGACTGTTTCCCTTACGTTAAGGGGGAAAAAAGGTGATGAAAGGAAATGATTACATTACAGAAGTAAATGACAGCTTTCAACATGTAAACATTTCAAATGCCTTCATTTACTTAAAGTCACTAAATGTTTAAAAATTTTTTTTTTTTTTTTTAAGAAAAATGTATTATTAGCCTGTTTTTTGTGTGTGGAGTTTTTGTTTTGTTTTAATCCATTTGATCCTTAGGAGTGGAATGTAATTTTCTAAGTATCAGCTTTTTCAAGTGATCATTTTTGTATTTTTTTCGTGATGTGAATATCCAGATTTTAATTATTATTCATGATTATAAGTCAGCTGATAAAAATGTAGGCTTCAAATAGAACAAAAGTTAGTCAGCACTGCTTAAGTGTTCTTTGGATCAAAAACTCTACCAGTTCCTTTGAGGTAATGCTAAATAGAAAAAGGAGAGATAATCTCCTTGAAAGAAACTTAAAAAATTGTTTAAAATACAAGAATATGCAATAATAACAAGCCAAAGAGCAAATATATAGCAATACAACACACAATGACTACATAAGGGAATGCCATGTAAGAATAGAGAGTTAACTGGGTTCAATATTAGAAGGTTTGAATAAGAATTTTAAGGAGAAGATGAACAAGCAAAATCACTAGGAAAGGTACTCAAATCAGAAGGAAAGATATGGAGTCACAGAAGGCAATGAATACTTCAAATGTGCAAGGTGGCATACTAATTAGTTATGAGAAGGAAGAGAGAATTCCATGAAGTACAATTGTCATGTAGAAGCAGAAGAATGTCTGAGAAGAAAAGGTGGAACAAATCTGTAAAAAACTTTGAATGTTAAATTTACAACTGAGGATAAACAACAGAGTGACTGCATATTTCCACTGGGAGGTACCAAAGAAAAGAGTATTTGAGTAAGACTAAGTGGGAAGAAAGGAGCTCAGGTAGTGTAGTGGTTAAGCACTTGGCTGCTAACTGAAAGGTTGCCAGTTACAACTCACCATAAAGATAACAGCCTTAGAAACCCAATGGGGTGGTTATACTCTGTCCTACAGGGCTACTATGAGTCAGAATTGACTCAACAGCCATGGGTATGGCTTTGGTTAAGTGGGAATAAGCCTGAAAGAGGAGACTGTTTAAAAGGACATAAGAAGGCACTATAACAAAGTAAGATAATAATAATAATTTAAAAACCCCACAAATTTAAATAGAAAGCCTGTGCTCAAATTTATGTTGCCTAATTTCCAGCTGTATAACCTTGAACAAATAATTACTCAACTGACTGTTTAAAGGTAATAATTCTGATCTGCCTATCAAGAGGGAGCACCTGGGGCAGGCTGGGTAAGGGAGCTTGGTGCAGTGGTTGGGTGTTGGAGACGCTGGGGCAGGCCAGAGAAGTGAGCCACGCACAGGGGTCTGCGGGAGGCAAGGAAGCAAGCCAGTGGGTTTGGAGCTGCTAAGGGAGAGTGGCGGCTTGCAATGGCTGAGGGAGGAAGTGAGCAGAGTGGTTTAGAAAAGCTCAGACAGACAAACTTCTCTGTCAGTTTGTCATTTGTGGTGGTTTGTGTGTTGCTGTGAGGCTGGAGGCTATACCACTGGTGTTTCAAATGTCAGCAGGGTCACCCATGGTGGACAGATTTCAGTGGAGCTTCCAGACTAAGACAGATTTGGAAGAAGGAATAAGCCATCCACTTCTCAAAGAATTGGTCAGTGAAAACCTTATGTATAGCAGTGAACTGAATGGTCCTGAAACAATGTCTGATATGGTGCCAGAAAATGAGAACCTCAGGTCAGAAGGCACTCAGAATAAGACTAGGGAAGAGCTGCCTCCTCAAGAGTAGAGCAGATCTTAATGATGTGGGATAGAGTAAATCTTTCGGGACCTCCACTGGCTGATGTGGCACATCTCAAAATAAGAAGAAACAGCTGCAAATATCCATTAATAATTGGAACATAGAATGTATGAAGTATGAATCTAGGAAAATTGGAAGTTGTCAAAAATGAAATGGAACAGATAAAGATTGATATCCTAGGCATTAATGAGCTGATATGAACTGATTTTGGCCATTCTGAATCAGACACCATATGATCTACTATACCAGGAACAACAAATTGAAGAGGAAAGGCATGGCATTCATCATCACAAAGACTCTATCAAGATCTATCCTGAAATACAATGCTGTCAGTGATAGGATAATATCCACATGCCTACAAGGAAGACCAGTTACTACTTTAATTCAAATTTATGCACCCACCACCAAAGGCAAAGAAGAGGAAATGGAAGATTTTTACCAACTTCTGCAGTCTGAAATTGACCAAACATGCAATCAAGATGTGGTGATTAACTGGTGATTGGAATATAAAAGTTGGAAACAAATAAGAACTGCTGGTAGTTGGAAAATATGGCCTTGATGATAGAAATAATGCTGGAGATTGCATGACAGAATTTTGTAAGACCAATGACTTATTCATTGCAAATACTTTTTTTAAACAACACAAATGGTGGCTATACACGTGGACACCAGATGGAGTACACAGAAATCAGATTGACTACATCTGTGGAAAGAGGCGATGGAAAAGCTCAGTATTTTTGGCCAAAACAAGGCCAAGAGCTGATTCTGGAACAGACCATCAACTGTTCATATGTAAGTTCAAGTTGAAGCTGAAGACAATTAAAACAAGTCCATGAGAGCCAAAATATGACCTTGATTATATCCCTCCTGAATTTAGAGACCATCTAAAGAATAGATTTGATGCACTGAACACCAATGAATGAAAACCAGAGGAACTGTGGGATAACATCAAGAATATCACCCATGAAGAAAGCAAAAGAGCAATAAAAAGACAAGAAAGGTAGAAAAGACCAAAATACATGTCAGAAGAGCCTCTGAAACTTGCCCTTCAGTGGAAGCAGCTAGAGCTAATGGAAGAAATGACAAGATAAAAGAGCTAAACAGAAGATTTCAAAGAGCAGCTGAAGAAGACAAAGTCAATTATTATAATGAAATGTGCAGAGACCTGGAGTTAGAAAACCAAAAGGGAAGAACACACTTGGCATTTCTCAAGCTGAAAGAATGGAGGAAAAAAAGTTAAGCCTCAAGTTGCAATACTGAAAGATTCTATGGGCTAAATATTGAATGATGCATGAAACATCAAAAGAAGATGGAAGGAATACACATAGTCACTGCATGAAAAAGAAGTGGTCGATGTTTATCCATTTCAGGAGGTGGCATATGATCTAGAACCAATGGTACTGAAACAAGAAGTCACAGCTACACTGAAGGAATTGGTAAAAAACAAGGCTCCAGAAATTGATGGAATGCACATTTAGATGTTTCAACGTGATGAAGACACTCACTTGTCTATGCCAAGAGATTTGAGAGACAGCTATGTGGCCAACTGAATGGAAGAGATCTGTTATTTGTATCCATTCCAAAGAAAGGTGATCCCAAAGAATGTGGAAATTATTGAACAGTATCATTAATATTGCATGAAAGTAAAATCTTACTGAAGATAATTCAAAAATGGTTGCAGCAGTATATTGATAGAACTTTGAGAAATGTAAACTGGATTCAGAAGAGGATGTGGAATGAGGGATATCACTGCTGATATCAGATGGATCTTGGCTGAAAGCAAAGAATACCAGAAAGATGTTTATTTGTGTTTTATTGACTACACAAAAGCATTTGATTGTGTGGATCATAAAAAATTGTGGATAACATTGGAAAGAATGGAAATTCCAGAACACTTAACTGTACTCACGAGGAACCTGTAAATAGACCAGGATGCTGTCATTCGAACAGAACAAGGGAACACTGCATGATTTAACATTAGAAAGGAAGTGAGTCAGGGTTGTATCCTTTCACCATACTTATTCAATCTGTATGCTGAGCAGATATCTGAGAAGCTGGACTATATGAAGAAGAACATGGCATCAGGATTGGAGGAAGACTCATTAATAGCCTGTAATATGCAAATGACACAACTTTGCTTGCTGAAAGTGAGGATGACTTGAAGCAATTACTGATGAAGATTGAAGAACACAGTCTGCAGTATGGATTACACCTCAGTATAAAGAAAACAAAAATCCTCACAACCAGACTAATAAGCAGCATCATGATAAATGGAGAAAAGATTGAAGTTGTCAAAGACTTTGTATTACTTGGTTCTACAATCAACACCAATGGAAGGAGCAGTCAAGATATCAGAAGACATTCCGCATTGGGCAAATTAGCTGCAAAAGACCTCTAAAGTGCCAAAGAGCAAAGATGTCTTCTTGAAAACTAATGTGTGCTTAACGCACCCCATGGTATTTTCAATCGCCTCATATGCATGTGAGAGCTAGACAATGAATAAGGAAGACCAAAGAAGAGTTGATGATTTTGAGTTGTGGTGTTGGCAAAGAATACTGAAAGTAGTACGGACTGCTAAAAGAACTAAGAAATCTGTCCTGGAAGAAGTTTAGCAGGAATGCTCCTCGGAAGTGAGAATGGCTAAACTTGGCCTCACCTACTTTGGTCATGTTGTCAGAAGAGACCATTCTCTGGAGAAGTATATAATTCTTGGTAAAATGGAGGGTTAACAAAAGAAGGGAAAGCCCTCAACAAGATGGATTGATACAGTGGCTGCAACGGTGGGCTCAGATATAGCAGGGATCGTGATGCCGGCACAGGACCTGGCAGTGTTTTGTTCTGTTGTACATAAAGTTGGTATGAGCCAGAGACAACTTGACAGCACCTAACACCACCACCATCACCACTCATTGAGATAATGTAAAAATACCAAGAACAGCACAGGGAAGTAGTAGATGCTTAGTAATAGACATCAATATTAGCCTTTAGGTGCTGGTATTTTATGTTAT